GTCCTGACCGCGTAGCTCAGTTGGAAGAGCATTGGGCTAGTATTCCAAAGGTCGTAGGTTCGAATCCCACCGTGGCCGGGCATATTTTTCAAGCTCGCCCGGTGTGGATATGCACTCAGAGTAACATCACAAACATACGTAAATTTATTACTAAACCGTTAAAATATTATTATTAGCACATAATATTATTATTATTATATTATTAGCACTAATATATTATTAGCACTACATAATTATACATAATATTATTATTATTATTATATTATTAGCACTGACATATTATTAGCACTGATGAAGATCCGGGCTTACGGATCGAAAGCTTTGCAGTAATAAATTTACGTGGTGTTTCCGCAAACAAAAACAATTATATTTTATCGCCATGCAAACATTCAAGGAATCGTTATTAAGAAGTTTATTATTTTCCTGAAGAAGACAGTACTATACTAAAGGATAACATTAACAATATCCTGTATTGTTCTATACTGTAGCCACTCGTGGCCACACTTTTCACATACTGACCAATCTATAACAACATGACAAACGTGGTTTTCCTAATTTAGAAGACACGACTGGTCGTTTTCGATTTTCAATGTGGCGCATGAAAGTGACTGCTGACGCCAATGTTCCTGTTCATCATTTTATTGCGAAATTTGAAATAAATCATCTTTACACGTATTTTTCGGGTACATATTATACTGCCAGGATAAAAATCGTATACGACTAGAGGTCTATCGTATATAGATAGGTGTTAATACGATTCATTTTAATTTTTCGATGCATATAGTTGAAATAAAAGGAACACTCGTGCAATAATATATTAAACTAGAACTCATGGTTCTAACGGTTTTTAATTTTTTCAAACAGGTCAATACGTTATGGGGCAGTTTTGAAGTACGTAATGTAAGATTGGCTAAAACAATGCTCAGTCAGTTTTCTGGGTAAGTTATGTTACGCATCAGACAAATCAGGGAAAGCAGTTCAGGGAAAATACTTCATGTAAGTCCTTAACTGACACAAACCCTAACCCTACCCTATACCCTATAGTGTTTAACACAACTACATGTAGTAGTTACTGTAACTGTTTTAACCTACCTTTTGTACCTCAAACTATTAATATGCATGTATTCCTTACACGCAGTGGTAGCGAGATTCGGTTTCTGCATATAAACCGTTTAGTTCGAAGAGGCTGTTTCCTTCCAATTGCAGACCATGTGTAAGTTTCGATGTAGTGATGACTTGGAACGAAGTAAATGTACTTCGTTATTGTACTTGAGTAGTTTTTTTGAGTAATGAGCATGTATTCTAACGTGCCAAGGTGCATTTTATTTGGAACGAACTCATTTTATGAAGTAACGTTTTAGGCTATTTCGTTATTTTCATGTTGAGGCGAAGTAATTCGCTACTTCCATCAATTATACCTGAATGACCTATTTCTGAAAATACATTAAAGATGATTTGCACTCCGTTCTGTGCATCAGTTCTGCTCATAACAAAGGGGAACCCCCAGATATAAACATTGCCCAAATTTTGCATCTTTCGAACTTTTTTGAATTGTAATGTACTGTTAGTTTATAGTCATTTACAAGCATAGCGTACCAGAAAAGTGTTAGATATTCAGTTAGTATATTATATTTTACAAATATAGCAATTCAAAACGTAAACAAAGTTCGCGCATATGCACAAGAGTGGACATCATCTTTAAATAATAAACTGTAATATAATATAAATCATGACCATTTGAGTCCAATGGCCATGGCTATGAATTGATGCGTACATAAGTAGTTCGCTGACTAAGATTATGGCTATGTTAGCCAAGCCACACTACTCGCACGTATTGGAATTTAAATTTGCATGTAGTGGCGGCTTATTACATATAAGCATTTTTCATGGTATATAAATAAAGTATGTTGTGTGATTGACTGGTTTAGTATAAAGGATTATTTTCTTTGTATAAAATACCACGTGGTGTATGTAAACACGGAAAGGCGAAAGTCTATGCAACAATTTTTTAAATCCATCGCAACGCGGTAGTTTACTCTAGAGTATTAAAACACCTCCCCCTCCCTCTCCACACAAACATTTCAAGCTACTGACATTAGTACTTTTACTTTTTACTTGTACTTCAAGTATATTTAAAAAATAATTTGTACTTTTTGCCCAAGTACGTTTGAAGTGAATTACTTCTACTTTTACTTTTACTCAAGTGCAAAATCAAAGTAATTTAGTTACCACTGCTTCGATGTAAACACAGGTATAATACGTCATACACATACAGTACCTTTGAACATACAAGCTAAGGCGAAACGCAAAGCATTTCATAAGGAAAATCTTTCTATGTACAACTTTGTCTTTGCAAACCCCAGGATTAAAGTTTACTTTTGTATCATTACCATGCTTCTCTCACTCGTGTGAACCATAATTTATGTGACATAATTTCTAGTTCAAATTTGGAAAAGAACCTTCAGCAATACAATTATTGGGCAGAAAAGTTTGAGATGCTACCCATGTATTTTATGAGCTTTTATGGCGCACAAAATTTACAAGATGTTTTGGAGGTATTATACTTTTGTTCAATTCTTACTTTATTTTTTAAAGGCTGGAGAAATAGCCGACCACAAGACATGATTTTTTTACGAAATGATACGTACATGTATGCTATCCGTTGTACCCGAACATTTCCCCCTGATAGTAATTTCTGTAAGGGCGTCAAGTTTTCCTTGGCGACCACATACTGTATGCACACCTGCGAATTTGCTTGTCTATGAAAAGCTGGCATAAATGGGAAACGGTCTGTATACATTCTAATAAAAGAGGGGTTCAGATTTGACTTCCACTAGCAGTACCTCTCACTGGCTCACTACTACCGCTACCTTCTCACTGGCTCAGTACGCATTTAATTGGGTAGATTTGACGCATCTGATTGGTTAATGGTAGCGGTAGCGGCAGTCGAATGCGAATCTCTATAGTATTTACAAATGAAAGGTGAAACATTGCAAATAATTGTTCACAGTCCACAGCAATTGCAGACGGTATATAGTGCAGTTCATCACTTATACTTATACTTTATTAAATCTCTCAACAGATTCAATTACAGTTCTAACTATTTGTGACTAACTATATTATGTCTATTTGCAAGTTTACAAGTACTACTATTTATCAGTACTCGCTTATACTTCCGACACTCGATCTCTTGCGGCCTTGCCACAATCTCACAGATAAACTAAATAATTAAAGCGTTTATTAACTTCATTATGCAGAGTCTTGTTCTCATAAATCTCACTTTATTTTCCAGACAATGTCCCATGCAGCCTACGTTTATGACAT